TGAGAGAGAGAGAGAGAGCGAGAGCGAGAGCGAGATGGAGAGCGGAGAGCGGAGAGAGAGAGAGAGACGAAGAGAGAGAGAGAGAAGAGAGAGAGAGAGAGAGAGAGAGAGAGAGAGAGAGAGAGAGAGAGGAAGAGAGAAGGAGAGAGAGAGAGAGACAGAGAGAAAGAAAGAAAGAGAGAGAGAGAGAGAAGGGGAGAAAGAGCGAGAGAGAAGAGAGAAGACAAAAGAAGATAGATAGATAAGAGAAAAAGAGAGAGAGGCAAAGAAAGAAAGAGGGAGAGATAGATAGAATAGAGGAGAGAGAGGGAGAGAAGAGATGGAGGGCGAGAGAGAGATGGAGGGAAGGATGGAGGAGGAGAGGGAGGGAGAAGAGAGAGAGAGAAGAGAAGAGAGAGAAGAAATAAAGATGGATAATAAGAGAAGAGAGAGAGAGAAGAGAGAGAGAGAGAGGGAGAGAGAGAGAGAGAGAGAGAGAAGAGAGAGAGAGAGAGAGAGTAGTGTTTGCATCTTAGTTCCGTCTCCTCTGCAACTTTCCTGCAACTGCTTGCAACCTCTTGAGACCCCTTTTATAGTCGCATTCTAGGATTTGCCTGAGCTTGAGCTGGCTTGAGTTGGCTTGAGCTGGCTTGAGCTGGCTTGAGCTAGCTTGAGTTGGCTTGAGCTGGCTTGAGATACCTTGAGATAGCTTGAGCTGGCTGGCTTGAGCTGAGCTTGAGCTTGAGCTTTGAGTTGGCTTTGAGCTGGCTGAGCTGGCTTGAGATAGCTTGAGATAGCTTGAGATAGCTTGAGCTGGCTTGAGTTGGCTTGAGTTGTCTTGCAGTCTTGGCTCGGGGTCGTGAATATATAAGATATATATGGATGTATAAAGAGAAGAGATTATAAATAGAAATAGAAGAGAAAAGGAGAGATATAAGGGTAGAATAAGAGAGAGAGAGATGGATAGAAAGAGAGGTGTAGATAAATCGACATAGACACACACAAGTGCCTACTCTTCCTCATCTTCTTTCTCTCATTTTTTTTCCTCCACCTCTTTCGCGTTTTCTCTCTGCTCCTCCTTCTCCTTTTCCTTCATTCCCATCACTCTATCTTCATCCCTA